AAACAAGCTAAATTAAGCATGTGTTCGAACGTTTCGATGAACCGTTGTACATAAGAACAGAATCGCTAAATATTTGATGTTTCTGTTGTTATTGCTTTGATTTATGCGCATTATTTTCAACTGAAGAAAAACAAATAAAACATTTTTGATTGTGTTTTGGCAATTGAATAGATTAACATCACATTTAAAGAATTTGTGAGAAAATTTTCATAATCCATAAAAAGTTACGGTAATCTTGCATTTAAGGTCAGTAAAATCAAATTCTTTCAAAATTTTTTACTATGGAATTTCTAAAAATTTTCTTCCCGAATTTCTGAATTTAAGAAATCCAAAATATATTTGGATTATTAAATTCGAAACGTATGGAAACAAAATTTTCGAAAAATTTTTGTTCTGAAAATCTTAATAAGTCTTATTTTATGAATTTTTGGTCTTTCAGAATTTTTGAACCAAAAATATCCGACGAATCCCTTTTCGGAGAGGGTGGTAATAGATTCCTAAGGACTTGTGAAATTTCTAAGCCTGCCTTCGCATTTCCTTAAAAAATCCTTCTGAGATTAGAATACTCAATGAATTTTTCGTTCAGAACATTTGGGAGCAAATTTCTAGGCAGTCTTTCTTTCAAGAGTTGTTTAATTATGAATCTTTGAGAAACTTTTCTCTCGAACTTTGCACAATGGTCGACTTCCGACAGTTGTTGTTTTTGTCAAAAAATTAGAATGCCTCTAGCTATTTGACGAATGCACCTAGGAAGCTGAAACTCAAAGCGAAGGTTTTGCTCTATCGGCCTCCTTCCTCTTCTATCAACCTCCTTCGAAGAGACCTGGAGGTATTTCATATTTTGAAAAAACCACGGCTGTTTTTAATCAGCGTCACGATGAGATTTTGAAAAGTTTTCGCAGATTTGTTCGACTCTTCTAACCATCATTGTGTGGTAATTCATGATGTAAACGAGCCGCTAATCATCGCAGTTGTTAAGGGAACAGCACATTATTGAAGAAGACGAGATGTTCATGAGTAAAGAAATATGTTTGATTGTTTTCATTTTCGCTGTTCATGGGTTTTGTCGAGATATTATGATGTTAAAAGAAAATGACACTTATACGGAAGAGTTATTTCTGAAACGTCTCAAAAGTGAACAACTTCTATCACAATTTCGCTTCGTCATCACCAGTGATCTCCCACTTTGTATGCTTATTTTCCATTTGATTGGTTTACATCTTTCGTGTTATTTCGGAAGGAAACAATTATTCACTGAAATCCTGAACAGATCATTCAAAACAACTAAAAATGAATGTTGGTTTTGTGAATATTCATGTAATAAAATAAAAGACCACAAAAGTAGTAACATACGACGAACAATGTTTTCAGCCAGTGATTATCGGACATATCCACGCATCATTGCTGAAGTATTGCGAAAGTATGATGTTCGCGAATTTCATCTCTCTCTAACACAAGGTAACTTTGATTTGTATCAATAAATGAATCCTTTTTGCTGTCTTATTGAAGTTTTGGCTGCGTCCAATTTACCCATGTGCAAATATCAAAAGATAGTAACCGTCCATGCATCATCCAGAGCTCTACAGAAATTTTATCATTATTCGTATCAAAGTTTAGGAAATTAAATTTTGTGGCTTTGCATTATTTCGACTTGATTATAATCGATCATTTGAAGTGACAAATATGATGTGATTCAAGGATTGTGGCATACAGCACAATGGGGCATTGCACCGCAACCTGCAGCTCCAAGTGGTGCGCAGCTATACGCATGGTTCAACGGGAATTCGTCGAGGTTGATTTTATGAATTATTGTTCAGATCTTTTACGACATTTCTCATGTATTTATCACCTCATTTTTGTCTAGTTTCGTTCATATCCAACTTAATTACTATCACTCAATCAAAAGTTCGATCGGCTTTGGTCGAATTTAACCGATATGTAAAGGAAAAAAATCTTAATGGAAACTAAGTTATGAACTCAGAAAACGTATATTTTCACGAACTCTAATTGCCATTTTGAAATTCTTTTGCATTCCCTTAACTTTTGAATTACTCTCGCTATCTCCATTCGCCAGTGTAAATGAATCGGGAATAGGGAACGTTGATAGTTTGAAATTCGAACCTCACTTGAATACCTCGTCCAAATTTTGGTATCTAATCATGCTTCAAAATTTCCTTACTCATTGATGCAATGAGCATTCAGCCTTGAACTACGTTTTATATGCACTCGTGATTTAGTAAATCATAAGTTAGTATAAACTAATTATATACTACTATGATTAGTATATGTTAATTATAAGAAAAATATAAAAAAACGTGAAATTAACGAAAATTAATTTGAGTGTTGATGAAAGGTGGAATTATTTGGTGAATTCACTGAATGGGATATTTTGTACATCGCTTTTGCAAATGGTACCTTCGTTAACCTCAACACCACAGTTGTCGTTCAATGCACGCGGTCTTGTATCTCCATCGTCATCTCACCACAGTATGTTGAGGTGAATATCAAATGATACAATTTAATTGTTTTCATTTAATCATTCGATTTTCAGTTGAACCACTTTACTAGGCACTTTTCAACTGAATTTTGGAATATCACGCGAGTGTTACCGCTATGGCTGAAATATTTTCGTGTTGTATTCATTGATCATGATCACGTAATGATTTTAAGGTATGGCTCGTTGACAGGTGAAAATGTTTGTACTGAAAATTTGACACCTTGGCGTAAATTACTACCTTGTAAGCAGGTAATTCCATTTTCCCCGTGATTCTTTATGAACATTTCGTCTGACATGAATTGACAAGAAAATCAGGATTATTAAGCTAAACACTTGCTCGATTCACTAGCATCATAAAGTTTAAACGTATACTTGCGCCTGTATCATCGAATTCTTGTCATAATGAATGTACAATTCATTTTGTTTTAGACGGGTCTTTCAATGTTACTTAATCCAATCAAATTGTACGGTTCGAAATTCCATTCGATGTCAGTGCATGTTACACGAGTTTGTGAGGTGGGTTTTATTCGTGTCATGTTTTGCTTTCTAAGGTTGTGTCTATCCGAACAAAGGCTTAAAAGTGTACCGAATTAATATTTTATATTGATGCAGTTGGGAGCTATAAGCAAGAATGCAGACATTTGAAGAATTTATTAAGTGATGAAATATTTTGTGAAGAAGAATTCCGATGCTTTATCTAAACTCTCTCATATACACGCAGTTTTAACTGGGTGAGTTTCGCTACTGAAAATGCTGCCATGCTGTTGAGCTTTACCGTTCTTCACTAATTTGCTCATAGAAATCATGTCATTCTGCATCACTTCCTCGCTTTTTTCATTATTCTTATGGTTTCACGTAAGATCTTCGATAGGTCTTCGTTTTTCAGTCGGGAATGTTACCACCTTGTAAAGAGCGTTCTCGAGTTGAAATGAATTTAAATGTGGTTACTGATGTAAATTTACGACATCAGACACTCGGTATGTTTTTAATTGAATTATGAATTAGTTCTTTGGAAAATGTTTCAAATGATATGATTTAATGTGATATTGGATTCGCAGACTCGAAATGCGAGTGTTCCCCACAGAGTAATCAGATTAGACTGGTTACAATTCGAATAAACGAATTAAGTTCTTGTAGTTGTCATAACGATTCGGATGTTAATGGAACTAAACTGAATTTTGATTCCATCAAAACTTTTATGTGCTTCGTTTGAGTTTTATAGTTGTTGTTCAGATTGGAGTTTGTACGAACTGTATGGTCGTAAGTTGGACAATAAGTGTATTATTGCGGATTCGAGTAAAATTTTATTCGAACGTGATCGGAAAGTATGAGCATTTTTCGTTCTTTGAGTGATAATGAATTCATTGGAATAATGAAACTTGATTTCAATGACAGTGATGAAAAAAGGAATAATAACATTATTAATGCGTTCCTCACTGACACTGAATTCACTCGCACGTCCAATGCAACAAGATTTTCAGTTTGAGTTTGCTTGCACGGTGGGCCCATGGAAATTGGGTACTCAGTTGTTTTCCAATATATTCTGATCAGTACTGAAAACTATCCGATAACTTATTACTCTTTCCTCCGTTCAAATTTTTACCAATTTCCTCTTTCTTCGTTTTCTTCATTCATTTTCCAATCTCTCCATTCACAGTCAGTTATTGTACGGATGATTTTGAAGTGTTTCTGTTTCATTCAATGTTCTGTTTGAAAGTTCCCATCAAATTTTCTCACCGATGACTGCCGTACTTCCATTTGTTCTTCAGTCAGTCACAATCAACGAGCCCAATGAACAACGTGAATACGATGGTCGTATTTTCAATATTTATGACATCAATAAAATGCCGCAGACTTTTTTCCCTTTCAATTTGATCGCAAAATATAAGTCGCGACTAAATCTCGTCATTGATCGACCGCCTTCTCTTATCAAGTAGGTTTGTTTGGCTTTTACTAACTGCTTGATTCGTCACTTCTCCATTATGTTTTATTTATTTGTAGTTTATTCGTATTGAACATTGTACAGTCAATGAATGTCATAAATGCAGATTGCATAGTTATCTGGGCGGTGTTGATCAGCAGTCAGGATATGTCATAAGCATCATACAAAATAAGCAAACGCGTGATCAACGTGCTGTTTATACGCATATGATACCGTGGTTTATGCGAATCTATTTCCATACTATCCAGCTAAAGTGTGGAACGTTAGATGAGAGTCGTGAGGTTTGCCGTTTACTTTATTCTTTTCGTAAGATTGTTCGGTGAATTTGGCTTTGGAAAATTGCTTAAAGCTGAATTGCCAAAAAAGGATATTTTGAGATAATAATGGTGTTGCCCACATCGACAGCAGCAGCAGTACTGCTGGCAATTAAGGCAAATCTCAATTCTTTTAAGTAGTCTCAGTTGAAGATTCATCCAATAAAGGTTTCATTTTGGCATTTGAAAGTTTTCAGGAAGCGCAAATATCAAAAGAAGCCAACGTGAATCGCCGTAATTTTGTACCAGCCAAAGATCGTCAACGACCGTTCTTGATTGAATGGGATTTTGTGATACCATCCGAATCGTCGTGTGAATTTTCATTCGAATTCGATAAAGCATTTCTGAAGTTTGTTTTATTTTTATTATTTTATTGGAAGGAAATATTCCAGTACGAGTTGACTAGTTCATTTGAGTTGATTGATTCGATACGATAAGACGGTATCGAATTCAGAGTGAGTGAGTTTCCGCCGGATGCAAATCATGGTAGTTATGTGCCAGCAGCCAGTCTGACATTCATCGCACATGATCAAGTTTGGTACGCAAATCGTTCAGCGCTTGGCAGTGATCGAACAACTGCTGTTGATGAGTGAGTCGTTTTTGGTGCTTGAATGATTATTATTGCTGACTTTATCATTGCCATTTTCGTTATTATCAGAAAGATTCTTATGAATTTTAAACTTGTTCGTTTGTTCTCATTGATCCATTCAACAAGTTCTCGTAATATCTTAAAAGTACTGCTGAATGAACCGTTGCAGGTTGACTGGCAAAGAAGCGCTGTCGTCACGTCTTGTAACGATATTCGGTGAAGCGCTGTTGGTGTCATTACCAGTACCCGATTTCAGTATGCCATTCAATGTGATTTGTTTAGTTTGCACGGCGATGGCAATGCTCTTCGGGCCAGTTCACACGCTAACAACGAGAACGTTCGTTCATCGTTTTCTTATTTTTGTGAGAACTCGAAAATTTTCGATTGTTTTGCACGATTCAGCATTACATTCTATTGAAAAGCAAGTCTAGCGTTCAACGATACTTTTTAAAGTTGTAGTAAGTTGCTTCAGGGCAGGTGCTAGTAAATGTTCCACCATATTCTGCTTTTCCAGTTTTCCAAAACAGATTAATTTAATGAATATTTTTCAAAGAATCAATAAAATTGTTGAGATCAATAAGATGACATTACCATATATTGATTACGCGGCAGTAAGTGCACTTCGGAAATGTTAGTATGGTTCGCACGTAAGATGAAGTGCTCTGTTAAATGGTTTNAAAGAGTTTGTGAGAGTAATCTAATGGTATTGTTAAGTTTGCTGCCGTTATCCGAGAAAGATCGAGATCTCGCACCGCAGCCACTCTTACGAAGGTTCACCTCGTTTTTGCGTTCCAAGTTATCCAATGTCATTGGGCGATTGAAGAAATCCAATGGCGACAGTTCAAAGCGATCGTTGGATTCAAAAGGAAATTTGACGGAGGGGAATAGCGCAGACAGTGTATCGCAGATAAAGAATAATGAAGATGCGCTGTCGTCAAACGGTTGGTTGTTTATGACTACATCTCATATCACATTTTGAACATGTATTTTGACATTTTGAGAAATTGGTGAGTGGAAATTTTTTGAGCATTCCTCTTTGTATTCATTTAAAGAATTGATTATAAATCGGGCGTTCAGTTCGATCATTCACTGAAACAAGAAGTTGTTCAAGAAATAGATTCAAGTAATGCGTCATTCATTTGTGCATACTTCATCATTTTCTTCACTTTTGTATAATAAACGCTTGTACTAAGTGATGCAGTCTTAATGAGTGAAGATGTGATTCAGAGGATGACTCGAAGATGGAAGCAGTGCGAAATGAGACGTGCTTGGAAGGCGATGCATTACGACATCGTAGAAATGTTACGCATCGGGTTCGACGTGCCGATTAGGTGCACATCCATTTTTAGCATTCATAAGAGCTAACCTAAAAAACGGGCTAGGTTAATTTAAGCCTTTATTGTGCATAGTATGGGATCGTTTTTTAGATTTTTAGCTGTCTCCTTTATGATATCGTTGTGACAAGGCCCATTCTTGCAGTTGAACTGGGAAATACGAAAAAGCGTCGAACAGTCTTATGTTAGATTCAAACCAACAGTATTCGAGGAATTAATCTTTTACCTTGCGACCTGTGTTCGCTCTCTATGTGGGCGCAGGTCAACCGATTTCCGTGTTATTCTGTGCTGTGCAGACTTTTTTCATTTCTGACCGAACACTCCGTCGAATGGTTCATCCCATCTCATGCGCGATCTGCCTAGGGGCCTTTTCACTCCGAGAAACCGAGGGATTAATCATCGGTGCAAAATTAGCTAATCGTTCGAGAATTGAGTAAATTACATTGTTGGTGAATTGTCTTAATACTTTTTCTGTGACTGATATCACTAGTTCGTCTGGGAACAACTTTTTGACCGAGTGGAGGACGCCATCAGGGAGCAAAGTGAACACGAGGACCCAGACAAAAAAGTCGAGGAGCAAGTCCCCAACGGGAATCCAGTTTTCCGGCGAATGCTAGGTGTGGTTTAGAATTGAGTCAGCGTCACTCGCATTGTCAAAATCTTATTCTCGCATTATTTGCACCTTGTAATCTGTTCATATCTGAATCATCTTCAGTGCATTTCAACTATGCCCAAACGTTTCTAAAACATTCCACCCTTAAACGTTTATTATTGCTGCCAAGAAATTGGAATTGTAGAGTTGTTTTGGATAATCTGTTCAACGAAATTTGTATATCACTGAAAAACTGAATTATTTCATCTGTAAATGTTGTTGTCACATTTATTTTATTGTTATGTTTTCTTTTTTTCCCTCGTTCCGTCAGTGGTTTTGTTGGAGGAAAGTTTAAAGTGTGTTGTTACATGATGTATTTATTTATAATTGCTTATGATTGCATTTGTTGAATAAGCTTCAGAGAAGCGCCTTTTTTATAACGAAAATGGAATCGAAATATTGACGAACTTTTATTCCTGATTTGTTGATTTTATATAAATTTTATAATTCAATAATGACGTATCGTCTAGTAACTTGTATTTTCTGATGCTCATTTTCTGACGCTAGATTCGATGAAATCCTATCTTTTGAGGCTAAGTGAAATCCGAATCAATGAACAACTTTATTCGTTATGAGTGTCACTCTTCATTTACTCTCATTCTTCAGTGGCTATTTCTAGATTTCATTACAGATTCCAGCTCGTTTATAACTCTGCCTGCGTTGTATGTATTTCAGCGTTGTGATCATTGTTATGTAATTGTTATTGATTGTGTCGCAGTCTTTCCTAGTAAAAAAATCAGTTGAGTCAAGTTGTTTATATCAAAATTTTTGATGACTGATCGTTCTCATCGTTCTGTTTTATTTATTTCATACACTTTTCATTCCTTTTTTTTAAATAATGCATAGTTTTTCACGATCATTAGAGTTCGCATTTTCCGTAGATTATTCTCTCAGTTCAGGCTGATCATAGGCAATTTATTCGTGGAAGTTCGAAAATTGTATTGAGGAAGTGGAATTGTGCAGTGGACGGGCGGGATCAGTTTGGGACAGGTCATTAGCCACAGAAAGGCTGTATGAGTTGATTTGCGATATTCCAATTGCAGTTGGCCTGCCCCCATCAAGATACCGAGGGTTGATAGATGCTGATTAAAGTGTCGTACCTATAATCTTGTTATCAAATCTGATTTGTTTATTAACAATTTTGAAAGCGTTATCAGTGATGCATTTACAAGAATAGATATTCAGTGTTTTGTTAGCCTTTTACAAACGTTTCATGTAGTAGTCGTCCTCATTCATCGCTTTGCTAGAATGTGCATATCCTGACTGAAAGACTGTTATTGACGAGAGTGCAACATTTTTGTGTTGTTGGAGAATCTACAAGCAAATAAGTTTTCAGCAGGAATGAATGAGGTGGTTGATTTGACTGAAGAAAGCGATGAACTGACACCGCGAGCAAAAGCATCAAGCGATCAGCAAAAATGGGCCTTCTTAATGAACAATCAAAAACGAAAAAATGCATCCAAAAATGTTCCCAAGACATCAAAATCAACACCATCCATTAAAAATGGTGACACTTCATTGGACTTGTACAGTTTACATTAAAATAACAATTGTTATTAGTATCATCATTCGCATAATTACAATTAAAACCATTACCGTCGTTTATGTCTGTGGTGATTTCGGTAGTATTTTCATCGATTTCGATTTTCTTATCATCAGCTGTAGTCATATATTGGTCATTTTCATTAATTGTAGCCCTTTATTGACCTTCAACTGCATAGTCAATTGAGTTCACGCAGTTGCTTTTCGCAGAGCTTGCTCAAAGTCTGAGTCTATAAGTCGTCTTCATTTGTGTTCACATTTAGTGTATCATTTTAAAACTTCTCTCAAGATTAACAGTCTCAAAGGAACTGGATAAGCACGTAGCGAGTATTATAATTTGCAAGATTTTTGAATTTTAGATAAGAGAGTGAAGAATTCGAGTGTAGAAAGCTGTTGCATGGAACCGCCTAAAGTGTTATTAGATCATCAAGAAAAATGGGAAATTCCATCAAAAACTGAACCGAATGACACAGTCAAAAACACTTCGAACGCCTTGTCGGAATCAACCGCATCAAATAGTGATGATCCAACAACATCCGGTGATTTATTGGTTGTCGTTATGTTTTTATTATATGGAAGGATAGCAGAAATAATCACCAGACTTGTACAACAATTGTGCTCGGCATATGACAGGATCGAACATTTGCTCAACTAGCCATGAACTCTCAAATTTTTTAACATCTGATTTCGAAAAATATTTGATCAGCATATAATCTTCTGCCCGTTATTTAATCAGTTGGTGCTCGGTCATCCGTTTGGGTTGAAGTTCAGCCCAAATTTAGGTTGAATGGTGAGTTCAAGAATAAGTGTTGGCTACCCATAAGCAGATAGTTATGATAAAATATTGAGTGAATGGAAGGCGATATAAGTGGTTGTTATATCACCTTTATGAGATGCTCTTATTGTTAGTAATCTGTTGTTGCAGTGGTTTACTGATCACTCCCGAACAGTTTATTTCTCATTCTTTTTACCGTGATTGTTTTTGGCGATTTCGATTCTTAAAATGAAGATTTCCTTATTGTTAGTATGTATGGCTTGAAAATTCCAAGAAAGAAGATGAATGCATCGTTATTAATAACAGCAACTGTCGCAAAGATGGCTGTGTTTGAATTCGCTGACAGACACGATGCACCCATACAATTGTATAGATTAAGCACTTCATTATCAGTCGTTCGAAATAACGTTGGCAATTCAGGGCTGGACAAATTAGCGTCGAAAAAACCGTTAACGCCCGAAGAAATAGAGAAGGAAGCGAAGAATATTTTGCGGGATGTGTTCGGTTATGAGAAATATAAAACACCAATTCAAAAGAAAGCTATTCTCGGTATCCTTAGAAGTAAGTTCATTTGTCTGATTCTTTTCTCTCTTATTAGTTAATCCAAGCATACGAAGAATCGGTGAGGGCTAAGTGATAGTGGCATGTCTAAACTGAGAGTGCCGATCAACGTGCGATGAAGTCATTCAAACAATGCTGCTCACTGTCAGACTTGTACGATCATTGGACCACAAGTTAAATGCAGCTGATATCACGGTGGAATTATTGCTAAAGTCACAGTGAGAATGGAAGCAAGAACTTGAATGTAATCTGTGTAAAGTAAAAAANCGATAGACATTGATTGTGATTGCTTAATAGATAGTTTCGACAAGAAGCTGTCTTCAGCGAAATTGAAGAATTTTGATGCAACGAAAAGCTTCTCAATCAGTTGACATTAGTCAATATTGGTGTGAAACATCTGATGAACAATAATTAAGATTCATTGTGCTTCCACTGAATATGTGAATCATTTTTCTCTCTAAAAATAAAGTTTTCAACATGGACATCAACATGAAGAAAGCATTCATTGTCGAAAAAGCAGTTGAAGGTGGAGTTTTTATTTTGCACTGTGCATCAGGATGCGAGAAGAGAAAAAAGTAACTTTCAGAAAAATGGGATGTATTTGTGTGTCTACCGACTGGCGCAGGCAAATCTCTTTGTTATCAGGTGTCGATTAAACTTTGTTTTTCTTGTTTAATTTATACTCGGATTATCACCTGCTCGAATCGGTCTACATGAACAGTTTCTGATGATTTCTGTTCTGACTAATTTCTTCTTCATTTCCGCAGATCCATTTGCTTGGGAAGTCCAGTATTTGATTGCATCAGCGTATTTTGTTTTGATTCGTGCAAAATACAGAAAGGCACATGTTTTTCAATGTCGATGAAATTTCTCGCAAACAATGGCTCAGAAGAGCATCCTGATCGAAAAACTAGCTACTTCAACGGCACAATCGCATGTTATGGCATGAGATATATGCAAATGCTTGCATATGTAAAGATTGTCATCCTCTCAGAATATTTAAATAAACGATGATAAGAGTAAGTGTTAAGCGAAACTTGGTCAGAATTATGGGTGGAATAGACATCTGAGGTGAACTGATCTGGGAAAGCACTGAAATGAGTGTGCGTACGAAGTATTTGAAGTAACGGGTAAGGGCAGAGCTAATGCGCAGTTGGTAAGCGTACAGCAGATTGGGAATGCTAATGAGCATCAATGAAGTTTCAGTTGCCCGCACTTGTGCACAGCGGTATAACGATAGTATTTTCACCGTTGATAGCGTTGATACAAGATCAAGTACTGGCGTGCAAGGCGCGTGGTATCAAATGTGATTCACTCAACTCCAAGTCAACGGCTGCTGAACGTGAATCCATCATTGAGGTTTTATATTCGCTCTCTTCGGCATCGTGATCGGGTCGATTTCTAGTTTCCATACTGTTGGCCTCTCTGCAAACAGTTGTTGATATCATTGAGCATTTCAAGAATCAATTTTAAGGATCTTCGATCTGCATCACCTCAATTACGGATGCTTTATATAACACCGGAATCTGCGGCCACTCCAAATACTCAACGCCTTATAACATCGTTATATAAGCGTAATCTTCTCAATTACTTCGTTGTTGATGAGGCACATTGTGTTACTCATTGGGGTCATGACTTCCGTCCTGATTATCTCAAGCTTGGAAATTTAAGATCACTAGCACCCGAGGTTCTTCGCTTCGCTTATCATTCAATCTTTTTTTTAAGAAGGTTACAGTTCGAATCCAACAAAAACTGCTGTAATAAATGATAATATTTGTTATTTTTGAGTGCTCTGTTAGTGCTGAATGAGAGTAATGTGGATAAAAGTTTTGTATATTGATGATGGAAGATCGAGTTTGTGTTCAGATTCGATGGATAGCGCTAACAGCAACTGCTAATCGAAAAGCAGAGGATGATATATTGAAACAACTGAAGCTGAGCAATGTTAAAATGTTCAAAGCATCGACGTTCAGAGCAAATCTTCACTATGATGTCGTTTTGAAGGATCTGATTCAATATGCACCTGAGGTTTTCTTTACTGTCCCAACGATCATCTCTTCATGTTTTCATCAAATTTTCAACAAAAAAATCTTACTTCAATCTTTCAGTCATGATATTTTGAACTATTAGCCATCTTCCTTCATCAGTGATGAAAATTGTTATGATCCGATCTACTGAGGACAGATAATAATTCATTTCACAGATGTGTGACACATAAGATACTGAAGTGTATGTCCGTCAATGGTCTCAATTGTGATTATGTTATGTTATGTCGGGTTAATCATGCATTTGCAGCGTCATTTAGCGTTGTTCCTACTGAAAGCACTAAGTGGTGCGGAAAAGAAGTTGGATAGCAAGAAGAGTGCTGCAGTTCCAGCAGTTACTTCATTCCTCGATGCAACCAATAAGAGAGAATCTCACAAACCGAAAGCGGTCGGTAGATTCATTATTACCAACATTCTCTCTGTTTTTCCTTTTTCTGCCGCTTTACTATTTGTTCGATTACTTTCATCGAATCTTTTTACGGAGGCATAGAGATACAAATTTTTGATTCAGAATAATTTGTTAATGAAATTATTCGTTTCATATAATAAAATTTCAGTTTACGGGCAGTGGTATAGTGTATTGTCGAACACGTGAAGAATGTGAGAAGATGGCAACGCGATTAACCGAAGAAGGTATTCCTGCATGCCCGTATCATGCTGGTTTAGGGAATAAGGTATTTTTAAACAACGATAAAATGACTTCTATATTGCGATACGTATTAGAATTACGTTCATTGTTTGATGAGGTTGTTAGTGACTTGCTGAGTGCGTTTGTCATGGTATTTGTTTGAGACAAACGTTTAGATGATATAGGTACTGATATTATGTGTGTTTAGCAATATTAAGATGAAGTCGGAGAGATAAACAGTCGTGGTTTGTTTCATTCGACAAGTGTTGAGTGTAAGAGTCTTTTGCAAAACATGGGGCTGAGCCGGGGATCGATCCCGGGACCTCTCGCACCCTAAGCGAGAATCATACCACTAGACCACTCAGCCATGTTGATGTGGATTTTCTCATTTCTTAAATAGTCTTTAATATGTTTTAGGTGCGAGATAGCATTCAAGAAAGATGGATGAAAAATGAAATTCCAGTGATTGCAGCAACAATTTCATTCGGTATGGGTATTGACAAGGCAGATGTGAGGTGAGTTTTGACAATTCAGGGAATCTGTGTTGAAGAATGCAGGAAGAGAAGGTAGACAATTAGTTTGACCATTTGATCAGTTTGTTCCTTTCAAATGGCTGGTTTATGGGTGATTTGATATCAACTATGTTGATATCAAATGTAATCCAGGAATACCAGTCTGCTGTGAAAACAACAACTTAGGAAGGTACTAAATAATCTGGTTGTAAGTGCCTATTTTGTTATGAATTATGAAAATCTGATTTGACGACCGAAAACTGACTTTAGGTGTGTGGTGCATTGGACATCATCACAGAATTTAGCAGCGTACTATCAAGAATCGGGTCGGGCAGGTCGTGATGGAAAGCGTAGTTTTTGCCGTATTTATTACAGTCGGAACGACAGACAACTGTTAAACTTCCTTATCAACCAAGATATCAACAAAATTAAGGTTGATCCAATTTTCAGCATTGTTACTGCTTTTGAGCATTTGATATTCATTAAGGAGCATTGATCATATTAATAACATGACCAGCTGATCAGATGTAAACCAAATCATAGTTTGGCTCGTGTTCGGTAAACTTCAGTGATATTGGTACACCATTCGGTTTTCAGCAAAAGTTTCCCTCACGAGCGAGAAAAAGTTTTTGCTTAAAATCAATTGGTACTATACCAGTGCCGCTAATCATATCCTTGTATTGTCATTGAATCGAATTATCTGAACGAATTGTGTATATCATCATTCCACGAGTAAGCATCAATGTTTATTTTCCATTAAGGCCAAGAAGATTGATAAAAAACTGATCGAAGAGCAAATTAAAGCGTTGCAACACGGTTTCGAGAAGATGGTTGAATTCTGTGAAAAGCCGTGGTGTGTTATCGTTTGTCTATTTGTTTCATCTTTCCACTTTTCTGTCNCCGAAGGTTGCTTTCACTTGATTCATGTCTCAGTAGTGCTATCGGTACGCAGTTGCTTATCTGCAGCACTCATCTGCTTTCGTTGTATTATTATTATATCGCTATCTTAAATTTCAACTATAATATTTACATCCAAAAAAAAGTGGTTTTTTTATAGGTTTTTGAAACTTTACAGCACTTAAGCACATCATTCACCAGTGCTCACAAAGTTTTATTTTCACATACGTTGTTTTCCCGATCGTGCTTGTTATCGAATAGTCTTTACGAAAAGACTAAACCATAGTTTGATTCTGATCGTTCTCCTTCCAGAATTCTATTGATTAAATTGACCGACTTTTCATTTAATGAGGTCGTTATCGCTGATTTTAGTCATTGTGAACCAACTTTTCGATTCATCTAAAATATGATTTTTCTTACATTCTTCGCTCATATTTCTATGAGTGGAACTTCTATACCTCAGTGTAACTCAGTAATTGTAACTCAATTTATTGTACTTAATGTTTCACTAGCCTATCGATTTCATTTCAATAATAAATAAATAACTGAATAATGGATTATGTTGATTGATTGTACTTGAAATTTTAATGGGGATAATATCGAGTGGCGGTTTAGGTGTGCGAGGCGAACATAGCACAATTCAATGAAGAATTATGGAAAACAGCGGCTTCGTCGAGTGGATATCATAAAAGAGGGCGATTGGCTGAAGATGATGGATTTGTTTACGAAGGTGGAAAACGTTCGAAAACGTATGCATTGTTGCATTTTATTTTTATTCTCGTTCGTTTCAGTTCCGAGACCTTATGATGAACTTTGGCTGGAAATTATTTTTGCGACAACATTTCGAGTGGTTTTGCGAATGATATTGCACTCGTTCGAGAATATCAGTCGTAATTCAAAATGCGAACGAATCGTATTGAACGGTGATTGAATGAATTATTTGTGTTGAAAACGCTGATATAAACACATCAATTTTCGTGGAGCTAGTGGTTGATATCGCAGAAAATAATCCATTTGTTTGAAGTGGTGAGGATCCGGATGAGTGTGCTGATGCGACTACGTTACTAGAACGTGAAGAGAGGAAACGTAGAGCGGAAATTGTGAGTCAAGAATTTGCACGGAGACGGAAGGTATTTTATTCGACTTTTAAACTTAGTTCTGATCTTCTGAAGTGTCTTTCTCTTGATCCTTACCAATTTAGCTGTTTAAATGTTCTCTCATAAAATTTCAAAAATTCCTTTACATTGGCATTTTCAAACCGTTTGGACGCAATTCGAAAACATAAACCATTAAAATATTAGAGGACAGAAATTCAACGTATAAGGAAGTGGGATATTGAAGGGGTTGGTGAATTTACATAGCAAGGACTTATTTATTATTATGGGTACATCATGCGTAAATTATTGGACAGAAGGTATAATGCTCCGTCACTCGGTGAAAGAGGGGATGGAGAGGCACATGAGGCGTAATTTCAGAAAACACTGGTCTTTAACGATGTTTTTGTACATATTCTATGAATCATTCTTCTCTGAAATACTTGACTCGTAGATAATTCTTAAGGCAACCGCGACAAATTCGTTCTCTGCTGCTGGATCGTATAATTCAGCTCGCAAGGAAGGCAAGTCGATTTTTATTTTTGCATATTTCTCAGATTTTGTTTACACTTCCTGATCGATTTATTGTTCTTTTTGGCATATTCAATCTCATCTAGTATTAATTCTTAATGATAAATGACAAATAAAATGTATTGCTTAAACGCCATCAAACTAATAGATCTTCCGAGATGAGCGTGCTTTAGATAGTTGTGAGTAATCGTTCACTGTGATCGTGTAAGTATATGTCATATAAGTGATGATTTCTCGTCATTTTAGATACATCAGGTATGAAAATAATTCAACCGAACGCAAAAAATATTCCCAATTTGACATCAACCGTAAGTTCCCNTCATTTGTTATGTTTACGCTAGCGTACTATGAACGTTCTTTCTCTCTTAACTACTTTTTCAATATTACATTTTGAGCTAATTTCGAGGATGGAAAATGAGAGAATTTTCGTATGAGTTCAGTCGAGTGGTTCTTTTTAATAAGATTGATCTCATGAATGCAATTTGTTTTGTTCAGCGTCGAGAAGCGATTCGTGCAGCAATTTACACATCGCTGTTGACAAATCATATGGGCGATGGCGTTAGTGATAGCACGCTCGAGAATGCATCATCATTCATTGAATACGACATCTTTAAAGCATCCAAGAATGGCACCACCTATCAGCACAAAGCATCTCAAAAGGTTCAGTCTTACTGCAGTTCGCTTCTGATTTAGAGTTCTGCCTCTAATTGTAAGACAGATGAGACTACCACCTTCATAAAAGACTAAATTCAGCAAAATTTTTTGAAGAGTTTTTACATTTACATCATTTATGAAACGCTGCGAAAGCTTTTTTGGAAAGAGGGATGATGGGGTCGATAAACTTATTTTATTAGTTTCATGAACTAATTTCTGTGATTTTAGGTAGCCGAAATTAAGAAGATGACCAAAGAAAAGAAAACATTCGAACTACCGTCAAGTACCGAACTCAGTGTGTCATCCGATCCCGTTTCAGCTGTAACATATGAAGGATTTAAGCCAGCGACTAGCTTGATTTGATGAATAGTTTTGGGAATGTTGAACGTAGTTTCATATTCGCTTTTCGAGGCTTAATCGATATTTATGCAGGTACATAATCCAATTATCAAACAGTTTCTTTCACTTGGGAACGACATTACTGACACAATCGCTTAGAACTAAACTCATGCAAGTTATTTACAACACTATGTTGATGTTTTGCATTATGTTTTGCACTGCTGCAGTGTAGAATTTTTAATGTTATCATTTAACTTGGAACGATATTCGAATGTTTAATGTTTAGTTGACTCAAAGACTCAATCGCTCTTTTTCTGATCGATAAATAAATGATGTAGCGCTTGTATCGGTGAACTTTTTCTCGCTCCTATTCAGCTACTCGATTGAAAAATTCTAAACAATTATGAGCTAAACAATTATGTGCCAAATGAGGCCATCGAATGCAGTCTAGGGAATTGTTCTTTTCAAGGATGTGAAAGTACTGCTGATGGGAATAAAATTCGGGAAATTCCTTCTGTGGGACGAATATTTCATGATGATAATGTTTGGTTATGATATTAGTTGTTCGCATTTATTTGGTGGTATCACGTTGCTTGTATCCGTTTGGATCCGCTATCAGTTTCAAGTTGTTTACAGTTCATTTGTTAATAAGATATTTTTTAGAAATTGTTGTTTGCATCAGTTTGTTCTGATTTTGCCTCAACATTGTTATCATTGAATTTGCTGCCATTTTTTTCTGAATAAACATTTCGTTTGCTAGTGGTCTTTACCGATGCTGAAATTTGTTATTGTATTTATCTGCAAAGTTACTTCATTGAACGAATATCTTTTCTATTGGTACGCATACTTTTTGCAATATTCATGCAATTTCAATGTATTCAACAATGAACTTGTTGCGTTCATGCAAAAATACACACAGAAATTGCAATGCGCTAGTTCGACAGAGGTATACAAGATTAAAGTCTAAAGATTGGTGGTAGAATGGATAAGGTCGTTGGTTTTTAGTGCGGTTCAAGGTGTTTTTGAAAGCGCTCACGAAGGAGAGGAGTTTCGATATGAAAAGTTTATATTTTTAAGGGGTAAATTGTCTGTTTGCGAATTGAACTTGTAGAAGTTTTTGATGCACTCGGGGTGATGTGCAAATCAGTTATTTTATCCAATCTCCACGATTAGTTTTGTGGTGTAATTGCGATTGTGAAGTATTCACGAACAAAAAATAAGAGTTCACGTGTGTTGTTGTGCTGCTGTGACTTTGTTCAGTGTTTCGCTGTTTTAATCAGTCGATTTCGGTTGTGTACATTGCACTGTTTTTATCAGTCAAATACGTCGCATGGTGATTCAACAGTTAATATTGAATGATGAGATTAACGTCACGAGTTGTGAGGAATACGTTCAAAAGCACTTTTAGTCAATGAAAATAACGACGATAAAATGATGGCAAAAGATAAAGTTATTGGTCGTTTCAGATCCAATCGAAGTAGACTAAAATAATTCAGATGATTTAAGTTGCACTGAGTGGCGATTTTTTACAACTCATCTTGCGAATCATCCGTGAAAAATGACATCGGTTTGCAGTAATTGGTTTGTGTTCGGTTAGTTGATTGTGTTTGTTTCGATTGATTGGTTATGTTGAAAGTTAGCAAAGAATCTGAACTGATTGTCTGCTGGGCATCGGAATGTGCATCCCTTTATGATTTCGACATGCAAGCACACTTGAAGTATTCTGAATGGAACGATCTTCGGATTGAAGTCAAGAGTAAAAGATGTCAATAGGCATTACTGACTCTAACGTGCGATCAGATTGCTTTCATTGAAGGGTCCATCAAAAAATTATTTGCAATTGTTTCACTACGTGCTCACGTCCGTTTATTATCGTCGTCATCATCAGATAGTAATCAGAAACCGTTATCACAAAATCAACTCTTCAATAAGATCATCGCCGACGAATACGATGGATTCATGCAGTTTCAGAATACTCTCAAAATTCGGTAATTCATTTAGCTGAATTTTGCTGTTCCGTCGAATTTTTATGCGTCATTTTATGAGTATTATTTTCAAATTTATCGCTTTTTTTATATTGTTGATACCATCGTTGTTATTAATCAATTAATTGTTCAGCTTTCTTCACATTGTCTGATTATGTCATCAAAAATAATTTCAATAAGATTACATTGCTTGTTTGTTTTGATTAGCTTTCTAAACAGATTATTCGTAAAAATTTAAAGGCAGCGGTTCAAGCGAGATCCAACTACGTGGCCCTCTGATGAACAACCATTCGGTTTAACGCATGCCAATTTTATCGGTAAAACTCTACATGAGGTAAGGCATTGCATAGTAACACTTTCACTGCAAATTTTCGATATATGCTTGAATCCAGTTTGTTTCGTGTATACTTTCGTGTACGCTTATTTTATGAAACGAATTGTATGATTTGATCGCGAGCGATTCGTTTGCTTGGAATAATGATTAGTAGCAAGGCTTGCATCTGTTCAGATCGACATATAAAAGTTGAGAATAACTTCTGCGCAAAGTATCTCCGGAAAGGGATTTGATTACTTATCTGGTAATTCATATAATTTCTTTAGCGCATTTGTGCTTGTAACTGATTTTTTAAAGATAACTGCTGAAAATTATGCATGCGCAATGCAATGATCGTTACACTTTAAAAGTGACGTAGAAAATGGGCATGCAGGTTGTAGATTCGTTATGATTTTAATTGTGTACACTTGCTCACACTAAACATTTCAGATTGAATTACGTCCCGAGCGTGCTTTCGCAAATTACGTACCGATGCGACCGTTTGCACTCAGACATTTGGGTCGGATGTTGAGAGTAAGTAATACGTCAGTTTTGTTCTTCAGTCTAGTGGTCAACAACGCTTTCTTTGTCTGGGATAATTTCTTTTTGGAATTCCTTCGTATATTGCCGCTTCTAACTTCTAACTTCTGATTTGAACATAGGGAATGGGATCATAAGCGTATTCAAGATTTCGTACGTTCGGAGACAATGCAATCGTGTCAAATTCATCTTTTAGCCGTAACCGTAATTTTGCCATCGAGTTGCTGCATTATCACGTCTCATTTACTCTACCGGAAATGAGGAAAATCATTGTCTCATCCCTCTAAGCTCTAAGCATTTATTGTGGGATCGTATCGTCTTACCCTCAATCCTTTCCTACCGAAATCCTATATTTTCTCTTCAGTTGTTTTGTTTCAATTGATGAATTATTGTTCGCGTATTTGTCTTAGTTTCTTCATTTTCAAGGAAAAATTTACGATATTGTACGTACGATATAATTTACGATGCGTTCTAGTGCTTTAATCTGTTATAATTTGTATTCGTGAAAGGCAATTTTTTGGGTACCTTCTCGATTTGAATCAATATGTGGATGTGTTTACGAATTTGAAAATTCACTCTTTGTCCTCTGAATTGCTGATTTCGATACACTCGAGTTGATCCGTAGTGCATTCATTTGCAATTACGTTTCTTTTCAAGGGATATCACATGATAGTGAATACTAACAATAAGTGTTGAATGTGTGAAAGTGAAATGAACTTCTTGATGATTTCATGGTGGCAAATGCTTTTATATTATTTAGCCTCAGAATACAGTTCCGAATATCCATATTGAGATGGTATCACTTGTTTATTCGTTTATTACAGGCACGTTTATTCTATCGGACGTTTTCAAAATACGATATACTTGATCAAAGGGCAATAATACAAGGTGCTAGGAAGGCATTTGAGGTCATCAGCCAATCTATTTATAAGGTTATTGCATTCCGTTCGTACGTCATCAGTCTGTATGTTTGATCGCTTAGTGTTTTCTTGAGCGATTACGCATCTGCCGATTCAACGATTAGGAAGCGCGAAATTCGTTTAGAGATTAATTTTTGTTTAGCAGTATTTATGGATTGCTGTGCAGTTATATGGTGAGCAAGTTGCTCTTCGTTCTCTGGTGGTTGTATTATTGCTGATGTATATATATATATATGGTGGATGGACGTTTTAAACGAGTGCAACGAATATATTCACTTCAGAATGAATTGCAAGGTCTGATTGATCGAAATATTTGCAATGCGAAAAAGATTCGTCGATTCGAGGAAGTGATGCATGAGATGAGCGATCGACAGAAGCGTCTGCTTGATCTATCACAAAACGATATTATTTCTATTGCGCCGGGTGTTTTAGGTTGTTTATTGTTTTATTTTGTTTACAAATTACCTCGATTATTTATCCGTTCATTTGCTATTGTCATCGTCGCTGTTTTTTAATTATACAGCGACTGTGGTGAATACCGTAGAGTATTGTGGAGTAGGATATCGAGCGTGTAACTACCGAGATTTTATCGATGCGTTCTAGCACAATGTTTCTTTGCAGGACCCTTTCAAAATATCCGACAAGTTCTGCTTGAGAACGTTGTACATTTGACGTATTCGATTCTGTGTTGTGCATTCTATCGCAAGGAGATACTCTTCGATGCAGTTAGTGTTTGTTGCAATATTCATCCGTAACGTTTTCATTTCTTTCTATTCACATCGCTTGAAATTATACTCTTTTTACCTCTGCCTAAATTTCAGGTGGATAAGTTACCAATACTAGAACCAGCGCAGCTAAAAGAGGATACATTTTTACCAATACCATCGAATTATGGATATGCAGCGCCACGTCTCGTTTTTGCTTACATGGATTTTTCGCACGTGCTGGATATGAACAATCGGAAAGTGGATCCGATTGTGAATCTATTCGATTTCCAGTTTCTTGTTATGTGATCTTTGGATTGAGTTGATTCGGTTTTTAGTGAGTTTAATTGTGCGTTTCTTGATCCTTTACCGTTCTCTATCGGACATGTAAAATGACGGAGTGAGCAAGAATCGGTTGAGATCTTTTCAGTTCGGTATGACGGTCTACTGCAAATTTCGATTATAATGTTCGTTTCGAAACGCGATTAGAGTTATCGCACTTTTCAGTTTGCTGCACCATTTTTCCGCATTCATTGATTAGGAAAGTGAAATTGCTCGAATTTTCATCGAGTAGTTTCGTTGGCATAGCTCGTCGAGTGGAGAAGTTTACATCACAAAACAAACTTTTGATGAATTGCAAGCGAATTTTGTATATATTAGTTACTTTTCTTCATTTTTGCTCATCTTAACCATTATTTTATTGATTTGAATGTATCGTTAGAATTGTGTCGCATCTGTTTTGTTTTCGTGATTTTGTGCCGTCCCATTAAATTGAAGTGATCATTATTTCTTTATGCCATTCGATAGTCATGATTCATTGAAGTTTTCGAAATCATATACTAATCATGCAATCTTATCTGAATAAGTTTACGCTGATAAACTTATCTCCATATGTTTATCAGCATAAAAGTTGAAGAGTAAGTAAAGTTTGGTCATTTAATGATCATGAATCTTAACTTTCATCGTTGATTTTTTTAATGTCAGCTGTTGAAATCACTTATGGAAGTTGAAAAGTTTCATTTCTAGTCAAATTCTTCTTTCTCAATATTAGTATGATCAAATTGCACCTCCATCAAAAATTTATCTTTCATCCTTGATAAGATCCCTTATATAATTCCAATAATTTGTCACCTCCTGCAAATCAGTTTGCACAATTTGACAAACACAAACTACCTGCATGCATGCCATCATTTGAGTTGCTTTCGTTTACGGGTGGTTGCGTTCTTATTTGATTTTAAAATGATATTACTTCATATGCAGTTTTTTTGTTGGACTTATAGATTCGTAAGATTTAATCGAAATGTAAATTGCTTAGATTGGTTGTGAATTGTTTGTTATGTTGAGACAAAACCGAGTGAAATAAACTTTGTGATACTTCGATTGTTATCGTTGCTGTTATTGTTTTCGTTCCTAACGATACTTTTCGGTATGTTACCTCAACTTTTGATGCGACCTTACTCGCCTTAATTTTCTCCTTTATTTGGCTTCCTTCCTTCATGATAAAGGATCGAGTGGAGTTTCGATGTCAATTTATTCGTCGGCAAATTGCTGATCATGAGTATAGATTGAGAGAATGCGAATGTGGTCGTGGTAAGTGTCTTCATTGATCTATGTGAAGCACATTTACTCGAGTAATTAACTGTTAGCGAAATGTAGAGTTTTTGTTGTTTTGGTTTTTCAAATTCATTCAGCGGTGATATCGTTGATGAAGTATAGGATCCAATTGGTCATGGATCATATTCGAGAAATTTCGTGATTGAACGTTTAATCCAATTTTAGTGGAGTAATTCTGATTTCTGTGTGTAATAATTATCAAATTTTTGGGTTATGGAAAACGTTTGGGTAAAATTGAAGTGCCCGTTGTTATGTGTTTATTCAAAATCATCTTTTTTGAGAGCAAATCGCACTGATTTGGTTCGTCGTTCAGGTGAATGTTATTTTTTCAATGGAGCTGGTTTTGAGCTCTTTTTCGTGGTTTCTTTTTTTTTTGGTGAAGCTCTGCAGAGTCTTACTCGCTTATCAGTGCATTCTTGAAGCTTTATTCAGTAAAAAAGCACATCACTTACGATTAGTGTTTATAGTGGCGAAGAGTCAAAATCATTTTGTATGGATTCGTTTGGTTTGTCCTCTTGATTCACGATGAAATATTTCTGATTTCCATCACATGGCTGAAAAAACCTCAAAACTGAATATTTCCATTGAAGTCTGGACTCAATCTGAGTAGCAGTACAGTCATTCGATGGCACTTTGGCCACTGATGATTTGGTATCTTTTCAGTTTATTATGTATCATCAAGTGCAAATACAAATGCCAGAAACAAATCCACTGATTCAAAACCCGATCCGCAATTATTGTCATATGTGTGGTGAGTGATAGCGCAGTTATCACAAGTTTCTCTCTGTTGTTTGGGTATCTTAAGAAATTTACTTTCGCATGGAACGGTGTACACAAGTATATTTTGCAATCGGCTCTGGTTGCTTCCAGCATTTATACACCAAGTTGAGCATTTGGAAAACCGAGAAAATTAATTACTTTGAAACGAAGTTTCATTTCGTCTTACTGCACTATCCAATTGTGGAGCTGCCATTATTCTAGGGCGAGATTCAGAACATATCGGAACGAGCGGCTGCCAGCTGATCAACGTGAATTTTGGATATCACGAGATGGATTCTTGCAGAAAGAGGAAGTAAAGAAGGTTCATAAGTACCTTTCTCTTCAAAAATTCTTCCTTTTCGTATTCCAGAAATGAGAAACTATATAATGTTTGTGGTCAAAAGCAGTGAGATAATGAAGTTTCGTTAATTCATCTAGACATCATGAACCGTTCACTTCTGTTGAATCATAACTGCATGAAATTCACCGATTCCAAAATAGATTCGTATCATAATTGTGATTCCGAATATGTATACTTTGTGCGCCTAACTTTTCTTGGGTACTTCATTTTGGTTGCGGACATAATCCGATGGGAGTTTAGGCATAACTGTTATTAGTGTTCATCTCGAAGCAAAGTGGATGGGGAAAGGGAGTGGGACCCGACAAAAAAGTTGGGGACCGAAGTACCCGAGGGGAACCCCGCTGAGATGCATGTGTCCGAGGGGGACTCCGACCAAAAAGCCGGGGAGCAAAATTGTCAGTGAACGGTGTCTTCGTCGGGGACACTGACGGAGACCTCGTTCCACGACAAATGCTATAAGCAGCTGTTCCTCTCCGTCGGGGAGCAAAGCGGACGTGGGGACTCCAACAAAAAATTGGAGGGCAAATTATCAGAGGGGAAGGGGTCCGCAGGGGTTATATTCATCCGGGAGGAGGACACTGATTAAAAATTCAGAGGGCAAAATTGTCATGGAACGGCGTACCGGTCGGTGACTCTGATGGAGAACGCTATCACCGACGAACACTAGCTGTTATTATCTACAGTGAGTAAGAATCAAGCAACACGAGTATAACGTGTGTGAATAATGATATTGCTTGTACAAAACGCCATTGCAGATATTCATAAATGGCAATGTTAATGTTTCAAATCAAATCCTTAAATACTTTTCCGTTTTGAAAACACTAAGAAATTTCCAGCTTCACGTCAGTAAAGAAAGTAATTTTGTCTTTCTGAAGCCAGTGACTCTCACTCGATGGCTGGAGGTAATCCTGAGACGAATTGGTGTAGGTTTTATTCTCCAGTGTTACTACATATTTTTAGCTTTCAAGCTATCTGATTGATAAATTATAACGGTATTTTCACGATTCTTTCCCTTAGCAGCTGTAAAAATTAAGCAAGTAACATTTCTCATACAATTTGAGCAGCTCTAACGATTTTCTCCACATGCCGCGCTTTTTGAATGCATTTTCATACCAAATCGTAAAATTGTATTTTCTATTCTTTTTGTTCTCTGTCGCATTCGATTCGAGTCGTGAAAATATCGCCGAGTGTCTCTGTTTCGTTACTATATGGCTTCTTATAATCAAATGCTCACTCATCCAGATACTTCATTCTCGCTTTAAACAAACTTTCATTTTCTAACTGAAATTTTCATGTCAAATGACTGAAGTTTTGTTGATGGTGCGCAAAAATTATTTTCTCAAAAATTGCTTCGCCCCTTTACAATTACAACAAATCAATTTTGTGAGCCGTGGTGTCCTATATCCTCATCCCTCTTGTTTCTTCTAATCAAATTTCTTGGTGATCCGATATAAACTTATCTTTTCAACATTCAGATGTTCATTTTTGAACGACTATTCATCATCAAGTTCCCAAGCAGAAACGATGTCGTAAACGCTAGTCATCAGGCGTTCACAATTATAGCTGAGGCAATTCGCAACGTTAGTTCATTTTCATTCGTCTATTCTGCATTTCAGTGTTTTTGAAGAGCATCTCAAGTTTTCACTTTCATGCAACGTAATCGTACGAAAATGGTGCATTTAAGGAATCATTCGAAAAAATACCTTTCCCTTAAAAAACACAGTCGCTTATTCCGCTTATAAAGTATATCTCATTGAGCTGCTACCTTTTTTTAAATATCTGAGGATATGTGTAATACGTCAAGACGATATTTGTGGATGAGATTTTGATCGTTTTGTTATATTTATATGCGTATGATTATTGACTGGTACACGTTAACTAACAGTTCAGCTATGCGTGGTAGAAACGTTAGAGCGTTGTTTTTATTTGATATTGTTGTTGGATAAGTAATAGGTTGCTGAACTTTGAAGGATGATTTGGATGTATTACGTAGGCGAGGATTATGTACTGTTTATTCACGATTACGATATCAAAAGAATGAGTTGGATAAACTCACTTCAAAACAAAAGAAAGTGTTCAATATTACAAAGGAAGATCTGATTGGTCATCAAGGAATTCTACGAGTGTTTTATGGTTTTTATTTATTCACTCAGTTTATTCATTCATTCAGATTATGATATTTATTTATTCATCAATTCATTCAATTTATCTTTCCTAAAAATTTGAACCGAATTGTATTCTCTGATCGGCGGACCTTTGTTCACATTGAACGGCGTTGAAAACCAAATTGCTATTCGATTTTCGTCATTTTATTCTCTTTACATGCGTATTCATATTTAAGATTTGGACAGATTGCATGATTGTTGTGAAATGGAGAAAATATTCACTTTCTCATTTGAAAAACAGAACAATATTTAGATCATCCATTTCACAATATCCGACTTACCGCGTTACCTAATGATGAAAATGACGAGAATTCAGCTCGAACCACTTATCTCCTTTATGGAGTTATGCTAATCGCGCTTTACAAGAAGAATTTACTCTTCAAAACGGTTTGTCATCGTAATCCTCTACGTTCTCCTCGTTTCACTTCGTGATTGGTTTCAATTCATAACTTTTGATTGCAGCATATGAATGTCTATTTGATTTACCTTTGAATGCAGGAATAATGTTAGTATTTCTCAATTTCAAGGTCTCAAACCACCCACTTCCATCCACTTACAAGTGGGGCACTGACGAACGTATGGTTTTAAAAATGCCCGCAGGTTATGACTTCTTACAACGCAAACATTTGGTGATGTATTTGGAATTTGCTCAGCCACTTAATCTTGAAACACGAACACTCGTTGACGACGTGACTCTGTATGATTTTCATATTGGCTGTTTCTGAGGACATTGCTTCTCGCTGAATTGATTCAAACCATTAACAGCATATTTCTTAATTTTTGATTCGTTTGCCTTACATTGCATAGGAAAAACCAAAGATCGATGAACATATTCGATCATTTTGTTGTGTTGTTATGAATTTTCAAGATGATTTGTGTTGTCTTTGAATAGTGCAATAGAGAAATATTCGTATTGAGTTGGTGTATGACACGAATCGTTTTTGTTTCATTATATTCCTTTGTGCTCGAATGTGGTTTTCCTGAAACTTTCTGATAACTGATTATATTTGCGTCTTATCGTACAATATTTGACAATACCTCTTTGACGTTCGAAACTTCCATTCAAGATACCATTATCGAATTTATGGCAACCAATCTCTGTGCTTTCATCCAATCTTGTTCAGCAAAAATTTCATGTTATAATTTCAAAACGAAAAAAAGTTATTCACAACCACTACAATTCTTCGTATACGTCTAATACTTTCCGGCGATTTATCCCCGAGATAAACACCGCTCAATATTTGCCCTCCGCGAAGAGACTTCGCATTGATGCTACAAGAGCTGAATGACTTGTGCATGAATACGTTACTAATAGTAATGCAAGTTGTATTCATTTCACTCATAAATNTACGGATAATGTACGAACTTGATTGAATAGTTTTACTGAAAAATCGGTGTGTTGGAGATGCTGCTGTTCGGAGACGCGATTGAATGAATAAAGTTGCATTTGCACGCTTTTGTTCATATCACCTTCAGTATTTCATTCACTATTCTTTAGTTCATTGTTGCTGTTTTTGGTATTTTGTTAATTTCATTGATTTATGCTGGTTGATGAACGCTACATTTTTGTGATTTTTAATGGTTGGATTACACCTTGCTCCTATTTTCATTCCTTTACGCGGATTTGATGATATGTTCTGTGAACATGATTTCGTATTTTGTGAGAATAAATGACTTGAAAGTGAATGATGATAGACTTTTAACTCGATTTTATTTGCTTTGTTCAGCTTGTTGAGTTATTTCAGAATTTTGTAGTCTTTGGTTTTCGAATCAAATATCAGTTTCTTCAAGGATTCACTTATGACGAAAAGGCTCCTTATACTTGGTTACTTACACAATTCCAATATGCCAAAAACTTATCAGTGAGAACACAAAACTAATATATATTATCTTCGTGCAAATCAACTGCTCACTGCAGTGACCAACTTGAATGAGACTTGTATGTGTAATTAAGCAGAATAGTTTTTGAGATAGTATATCGCAAGAGTCAAATTTATCTCCTGATTTTCTCTGATGGACTGTTATGAATGTGCTTTGAAAGGATTTCATAAGAAATTTTCCAAAAAAATCAGTGATCATGAGTAAAATTCTAAGAATCTGGTTAAAAAAATTCGCAAGAATCCTGGAAGAACGAACTTATATTATTTATTATTCCTAATAGAAAAATTCTACTGCAGCCTCGAGAGAAGGATTCATATGAATCACGGAAGGAAGAGTTTAAGAGTATAAAAGATGGCGAAATTTAGTCGACATTTGTAGTGATATAGATGATATGTTAATGAATATCTGCATGAAGATTTCTAATCAAAGTCATCATGAAATGCATTAATCGGAAATTCTGGTCGAATGTTCATGTTACACGTTCAAACATTATGAAGCATCGAATAATCGCTATCGATAGAGTTATTATATCATAAGATTAGTTGTGAACGGTGTTGACGTAAGAACTAATTCAGTTGAGATTGATTTGCTGCTTACGAATGAACAGAAGCTTGAAAGAACAAAACTTAATAAATAAATAAAAACATATCAGATGAGTAATAGCTGCGGAAAACATACAGTTACATACTATTTACATCCGCATTCATTCACGCTCAATTATGTGTACATCATAATTGCAGAAACTTTCGTTGTTTTTTGACTAGATATTTTTCATTGCCCATATTTTGTTACTTTGATCACACTAGAATTTTGGAATTTTTCGTTCGCAGCGTTTTCCCATAATCTTGTCAATAATCGGAAATGAAATATTTTGGAACTCATGTAGCCTTATTAAGACTAGGTTCAGTGGGGGAAATAGACATCAGAGTCAGTGGGAAATAGTTGACATGTATTAATGTGACCATTGCGTGAGTGGTATGGTCGGTATGCGTTAATAATGTGGCTGATCAAGTTGTTGATCCATTGATGAGGACAAATGTTGAAAGTGATCGTTATTTGGATCGTTTATTTCAACGAATCTCATCTCGTTGTATATGGATCATCAATAATCACATTATGCAGTTTTAATGACACCTCTTCGGTTTCCTCGTTGTTGTATTTCCTCCAGATCCTGACTGATTTGTTTCTGGAACGATGCAAGATTATGTTCAGATTGACATAATTGTCCACCGATGCGGCTTGCATCATGCAGAACGAATGAATTTCATTTTTTCAGTATGCGACTACNGTCCACCGATGCGGCTTGCATCATGCAGAACGAATGAATTTCATTTTTTCAGTATGCGACTACGCTCTGAATGAATTCGGTGAACGTTGGTAAGATCAACAAATAATAGGCAGTGTTGTGACGATGAATGTGCCGAGAGATGCTTTTTTTGTTGAGATAATCGCTCGATTTTGTGTTCGTTGAACGTGAAATTCAAATCTATTGCAATCTGCATGCTAACGGGCAGTGCCTTGCGAATATCAAACTTTTGCGAAGTATTTTGCGCATTCAACATTTCAACCCAATAAGAATTCTGTATTCGTTTTGGAATTGATTACGGGTCGTTCAGTTACATGTGGAATTTCCACTCATCTGCCTAATTGTTCAAATTGAGATTCCATCTGAAACTGCAACTGAGCGGTCTATCGAATTGTTCGCAAACATTGATTCTGAGCCAGGCAATGAACTGGTGCATAAGTAGGGACTACCCAAACGTGAGTTTCTATAGTCAACTGTGGTGAGTGTTAAGGGTAATTGTAGGATGCTTGCTCGTTGATGTNAAACGTGAGTTTCTATAGTCAACTGTGGTGAGTGTTAAGGGTAATTGTAGGATGCTTGCTCGTTGATGTTGGGTTGAAAATTTGGTTTGAAAAGTGCTTGCAGCTCTCAGAATTTGAGGATCTCCGCAAACATTGTCGTTATAAGTTTGGAAAACTGATACGAAAGTTTGCAAACAACTTTGCAATCGATGGCACTTGTCAGTAATGCACCATCGATTCCGTCGAACTTTTTCAGCTCGACGTCGAGTTCCTTGTTTGATTAGACAGTTGTTCGCGGTTTACTTAGATCGTAATCCATCTAATTCCAATATTTTCTGCACTTTCTTTTGCGATGCGTGTTTTTGGGGTGCATTTAAGTCAATACTGAATATTTATTGTCAAATATTAACTCTCTCTTCATCAATCACCAAATATTTGTTTTACTTTCATCGCGAATAAGTGACTCAGACTTCGCTCATTTCTCGAAAATTCATTTCATAACTTCTATCACTTCATAAGTCTGCATTTCATGCTATTCGAATTCACTTTTCCTCATTCATTTTCTACTTTCACAATATTTTTCTTCTCATATTGCGAATCCCATAACAACACGTTCATTTCTACGTCTTTCTAGCCTCTCAAATTATCATTTCAGTATCATTCCACTGACATTTTAAAGATTATCATCTTCTTCGACTTCATAATAAAAAAGTTTTGTGTACGGAATGTAATAGCATCTTATTGCGATCAGATGTTAGATGCTATTAGAATTTTAAAGATAAATGCGTAAAAACGCAGACAAATGACCTCAGTCGCATATCACATAAATGATAACAACAGTTTTTTATGAATGTATCTGAAGATTCATTCATTTGCTGTGATCGAGGTTTTATGAATACAGTACCACATTGTTTTTTGTGAGTTTCAACGATATTTCGCAGCATCTTCAGTCTACGTAACCAGTTTTTTAGGAAATTGTTTTCTCACAATCGAGAAACAATATGTGTTCTGTGCTGATTTCTCGTTTTTTTCGTTCGAAATGCTAACAGAAAACTCGAAATATAAACGCCATTACCGGATGAAGCGTTCCTTATGTGAACGCATTGGTTGCATATAAAGCAGTAAATGCTAAACGTGATACGTCTTGCACTACGTGGACATTTCAATGAATAGTTAAACATTCATCAGAAATAAGTTGAGGTAAGGTGTTTTATATCTTTACTTCAAATATCCAACGATAACGTCTGATTGGAGAAGTGTGCATCACCTTGCAAATGGATGTGCGCAATTATTACAGTTCACAGTGTCTGGATAATGAAATTAAACATCGAATGCGCATCGTTGAATCGATAATTCAAATTCGTTTCATTCCCTCAAAATTCATGTACTATCACTATGTGGCAAATGCTTGCTCGTCTTTCGCTGAAATATTTTACTTTGTTTCCGAATTGATGTTATTCTCTTCGAACAGTGAATATTAAAGTAGAAATAATTCGCACTTTATTGATTATTGACAATTCCAAAATTCCACTAAACACTTTTTCAATCTGACAGTGTTGCTCACCAATATTTTCGCGAGCGTTCTCTCGCCCACCTCACTTTTATGGATGGAAGATGGAATGGTTGCAGTTAGAACAATTAATCAGAAGGCAGCATGAAAATTCCACACAGAAGAATGTATTTATTTTCCTCTATGATTATTCAAATATGAAATTCGGTAATTATAGTGTTTTGTTATTTCGTTATTCAATAATCACTGAGTCAGTTCAAAATTCGTCGTGCAAATGCCGTCATAACATGACGGATGAATATCTATCTTCACATAACATCAGTATTATTCATTCACTTAAAAAATTATCAGTGACCACATTGTTTGATCGTACATTTGATCACACAACTTAGAGCATGTCCTTAGTTATGAAACTTATATGATGGAAACTGAAATTGAAAGATGAGCACGTATAGAATAACTAAATCTTATAAGTATGTCTTGACTGCAACATCAATCTTCGTCTTGTGTCGATGAAATGTCATTCTT